TTCATGAATATTTCATGCATCCTCTAGGTGAGATCTATGATTGGAGTACCAAAGAAGAGCGATAAGGCTCTATTGAAGAACACCCTGACTCAACGAACGAACCATAATAACTATAATTACAAATATATATGTCTTAATAAATTTTCAAAAAGTCTAAAAAAGGTAATGATGAAAGTCTTAAAAAGTCTCAAACTTTTTAGGACTTTAGAAATCCTGATGTATTTAATTTAGATTTCTCAAGACTTTTAAAAGTCTTGAGGTATTCAATTAGGATTTTAAAAAGTCTTACGAAATCCAGGTGTATTTAACTAATTTAAGGTTAGGATTTATAAGGACTTTTTAAGATTTGCTGGGATTTCTAAAGAAAAAAACATGTAGGAAATCCCACTACAAATCCCACCTTTAGACTTGGTATTTTATAGGATTCTTTTAAAATCTGAAAATCCTCAAAAATCTTAAATCTTAAAAAGTCTTTAAATGTCACTCGAATTCCGAAACGAATACACCCCCCTAAAAGTCTCAAAATATGTACTAAAGTCATGAAAGTTTTACAAAGTCCACCAAAGTCACGTCTTAAAAAATATTTAAGAATCTCGATTGAATACATCACTAAAACAAAACTGGGAAGTTAACGAATGGAAACTAGATCCTATATTGAAAACTCTTGCGAAAATAGGTTAGCTAATTGGAGAAACAAGTTTCTTTCTGATGAAGACGAGCTCACGATAGCTTTATTGGAGGAATACGCGAATCCCGGCGTTAAAATTATTAATTATTCGCATAGTATTTATTCCTAATATTTTTTACTTATCTTTTTATTCCTAATATTTTTTATTTATCTTTTATTGTTAGGATGATGTCTATCTTTTAGTATTAAAACTTGGTCAATAAGTTAAGAGTTTAGGAGTGTTTGGAGCCCATTTATGTTGTGTAAACTGATGGGAGAGTTCAATTGAAGAATAATAAAGAATTTTATCGTGTTTTCACTCTTATTGTTCCTTTCGTTCACGCTTGCTGCGTCAGTTGGTATTCAGAGACCAGTCACGATCCAAGATGCCTCCAAAGAGAAACGATGCCGATGAATGGAGAGACGCTGCCATCGATTTGTTGCTGCAACGAAGTGAAACGTCCGATCGTCTCATGGCTAATCTCTCGGCGAGGATAGAGGAAATTTCACTGGCCGTCAATACCGGCCCTCACGGCAATCAGGCGAACCGAGGCCGCGGCGGACGGCTCGGAGGGGCACGCGGGGGTCGTGGCTGGGGAGAACGCGGGGCGCACCGCAAGCGGTCTCCTCCTTCGTGGGATGGCAGCGGTGACGAAGACACCGTTTCCGAAATAAACCCTTTTGGACATCCAACCCATGAAGATGATGATCCGGACGAGGAAAAGCGCTGGAAATTGTCTATTCGTGTGGAAATTCCAGAATTTACCGGCGGCCTGGAGGCGACGGACTTTCTGGATTGGATGGCCGCGGTCGAATCCGCTATCGACTTTAAAGGGATTCCAGCAAACTTGAGGGTAGAACTTGTCGCAACCCGATTTCGCGACCGGACCGCTGCATGGTGGCAGCAACTTAAGGCGTCCAGATGTCGTATGGAAAAATCGAAAATCACTGATTGGGCCAAGTTCCGTAAACATCTCGATCGTGAGTTCCTCCCTTACAATTATATGCGCTCTTTTAATGCAATTCCAAAATCTGAGGCAGGGACAACGTTCAGTTAACGAATATACCGAGACGTTCTATCGTCTTCTCACGAGATTGGATGCCCGGGAGACAAAGGATCAACTCATCTCCCGTTATATTGGAGGACTTCGATTACCGATCCAGGACACACTTATCTTGTTCTCTCCGGATTCTATTTCCGACGCCCATCAACATGTTGTTTTGGTGGAACAACAACTCGAGCGCAGACTGTCTTCTTCTTTGCTTCCAACGGCCAGGACGGGTGGTCATGGTGCAACGATTGTGCCAGTGGGGCAGTCTACGACGGTTGGGCCAGGTGGCAGCGTAGGAGCTGGTACTTCCGGCACCGGGCGCACAGCGACAACGGGTTTTGGCCCTCCTGGTGCCGCGAAAGGTTCTCAGCAGAACACACTAGTGTCGGGCGGGCTCCGATGTTTTTCATGTGGTGAGGTCGGCCACCGACAGTCGGCGTGTCCTTGACCCGGCGGTGTTCGAGCTTTATTAGCCGATGATGTGGATGATCAGGGCAAGCCTCCGTTATACGACGCTCCTTCAATTTTTGACAAAGAGCCCGAATCGGTTGAAGAACACGTATACGAAGATGTTGGTCATGCCCTTCTTCTTTGCCGCTCGTATTTATCGCCCCAGGCCGCGTCTGAGGAATCTGTTCGATTTTGTTATCTCGGATGTGTTGTGGCTGAAGGAGAAAAGGCTGAATATTTAGGCGTTTGGAGCCGGCCCTCTATCGACAATAATGATGCGTTTAAAAACGGTGCTGTTATAGATGTTGAGGACGACCAGAAGGATTCAAAGGTGGTTTCAGGAGGTCAACAAAATGAAATTCCGGCGGATATTTTTTCTGCAACAGCACATCCCTTTGCATTTCGTGGAGGTGACAGTTGGTGGAGTCACCCTGATGACTCTATGTCGGATGAGACCATGGATGACGTGCTCTTCGGAAGCTCTGCCGCTGCCACAGAGTTTGTGGAGGAACTCGATGGCCAATTCTCTGGGATGCCGACCGCGAAACATTTGTTGTTGATCCCTGAGTTGTTGTCTGATCTCCGCAAGAGACTTGTCGATGCCCTCGCAGCCGATAAGTTCCAGCACATGTATATGACGAACGATTTTGGGGTCGTGTGCTCATTTCTTGAGGGCCTCGTTAGTTTCAGTTCGTATGTTGAAAAGCTCGAGCGTTATGGAGTGGTCGAGAAGTTCCTCGTCAAGCTCCTGTCTGAAGTTCTTCGGCCCAATGTTCATGGGGAGGATTATGTTGCTTGGGTTTGTGACCAAGTTGCTCGTGCATGTAGCAGCGAAAAGTTTTCGGCCCATTCATTGTTGTTCAAGCACACGAACAGAGATGACAGTTGGCTCATACATAAGCTTTCTATCCTTGCTGCTAGAGGGATGCTGCATGTTCTTTATTTTAAAACTTAAGGCACTGCTTGGTCTTTCTTTTACAACTAAGGCTTTGATTGATCATGTTGCCATTTTCCACAATTTAATAGGTTGGCAGGTTTTATTTGGTGATCCAGCATTATTCCACAGTTATATTCATGCAGTGTATGGAGCCATTGGACCTACTACCATCTTGATGCCATTCACAGAAATTCTAAAGGAGGACTTCTTGAACGTGGGCGACAACTCATATGATGACGAGCTCACCTCGGATTCGAGGGCGAATCCTTCTCAACCGGGGGAGGATGATGAAGACGAGCTCACGATAGCTTTATTGGAGGAATACGCGAATCCCGGCGTTAAAATTATTAATTATTCGCATAGTATTTATTCCTAATATTTTTTATTAATTTATTATTCCTAATATTTTTTATTTATCTTTTATTGTTAGGATGATGTCTATCTTTTAGTATTAAAACTTGGTCAATAAGTTAAGAGTTTAGGAGTGTTTGGAGTCCATTTATGTTGTGTAAACTGATGGGAGAGTTCAGTTGAAGAATAATAAAGAATTTTATCGTGTTTTCACTCTTATTGTTCCTTTCGTTCACGCTTGCTGCGTCACTTTCCTTTGAAGGTAAGGAAATCTTGGTGAAGTAAGTCCTCACTGCACTCTTTCTGTATTCAATGTGTTGCTTTCTGCTCTCTAAAACCAACACAAGAAAAATTGACCAGCAATTTGCAGCTTTTTGGTGGGCAAGAAGAGACCTCAATAGCAAAGGAATTCATTGGCAATCTTGGAAGGAGCCCACCCTGCCTAAAGAAAAAGATGGTTTGGGATTTTTGGACATGTACATCATGAATATAACATTAGTTGAGAGTGTGGTTGGTTTCTCCCTTCATTTAGGTAGACATGGCCACGGGTCACCCGACCCGGTCACAACCGTTGACCACGGGTCCGGGCCCGACACGGATTTCAAACGAGCCGGTCAAGGGTCATGTTTTTTTTCGACCTTGACTCGGCGGGCCGGGCTGGGTCCGGGCCGGCACGGAAAAAGACATTGCTTTTGAATTTTTTCTTTTTTTTTTAATTTTTATGTGGTCGGGTCCAAACTCGGGTCGGGCCCGGCCCGGCCCGCCGGATCATGGACCCGACATGACCCTAGGTTCGTGCCGGTTCAGGGTCGTCAAAACCCAACCCGGTGGCCCGACGGGCCGGGCCAGGTCGTGACCCGGCCTGATTTTTGTCCATGTCTACATTTAGGGATTGTATTTTGGGCGGTAAAACTTTTTAAGTTGTTGAGTTCTATGATTATGTCACTGTCAATAATTAGATCATCTTTCCCGTTTTAGTTTTCTTTTTGTTTTATGTAACTCATGGTGAGTTCCTTCCTACTAGTCTACCTTGAGGTAGACTATAGGTTATTTTGGATTTGAACCAATGACTCTCGCCGTATGAAAGCAATACTCTAACCACTGAGTTAAGTAGGTCATTGATCATCCTAACGAGAACCAAAGGAGGTAACTCATGGTGAGTTCCTTCCTACTAGTCTACCTTGAGGTAGACTATGAATTATTTAACCACCGATTTGTATATAATTTTTTTTTACATATTTTGTTTGAAGTTATAATATCTGTCGTTTTGAAAAAAAAAAAAAAAA